TCCATTGGCTTTAAGGCGGCTTCCGAACTGTAGAGAAGAGATTTAAGGACGAGCCACTTGAGTTTTTGCCTTAGTGTAGGTAGCATGTATATGTGTGTGTGTGCGTATGCATGTGTGTGGATTTCTTGCCTTTCCATAAAGCTGAAGAACTGCTACAGTTGTAAAAAGAAATTAGTTGCCGCCGCCTGCGGGCATTCTAGTGATGCTCCGCCAATCCAAACCGCTCGACTCGCACACACACACACACTCGTTTGCGATCGCTTGGCATCGCAGCTAGACCCGACCCGAGTTGTTGTAATTGACTCAGACAATATGCTGCCGGAATAATGGGGGAAATAGAGGTCGAGCGGGTTTTCAGGGGGGGAGCACTTGAAAACCGCAGAGCCGACACAACGTAACCGTTAATGGGCCAGGCATATCTCTCTTCTCTGGCTTGTAAGTATATCATATCGCCATCGGGACAGGCCAACGGGGCGGATGGTTGCGCTGAAAATGAGTTAATAAAATGCGTATGCGTAATCAAATTATATGTCAAGTGTGTTGACAACGTAGCAGTGAACGTTAATGGCAACGCATTGCCAAGATGGAGAAGAAGGAGACCATCATCAGCATCATCATCCAGCAACCAGCAACCAGCACCCACTAACATCCAGCATATCGTCTCATCCTCGTCAGAGAGACTCGTCACATACAAGACCCACTGGCTTCCTTTGCCAAATGCGATTTTAATGACTCGAACAAAGGAGAACATTTAAGCGAAATTTATTACTTCAAGATGTGTGTGTGTGTGTTTTTGCTCCTTCTAGGCTATCTCCCTCTCCCCCCGCCTGCTGCATTTGCTTCCAAGGATCTAAGACTTCTTCGATCCAAGGACTGCATCTATTTTACCAGCTGATCCCACTTCACCTGGCTAAATCATTCTCTGCACTGTCAGCTGCTAGCTTCCAAGCTGCTAGCTTCCATTCGATGCCATTTGACGAAATTAATTTAATGCCCTTCCATCTCTGTGTAAATTGAGGTAATTTTGGTGATGTCCCAACAAACATTCAGATGTAACCAGCAACGATGGGCAATAAGTACAAACAATGCAAATATACGAATAAAGTGGGGTTCGTAACTAAATAGTTTTCTCAACTCAACAACCATATCAATATGCAATGATACTGATTTAATTTTAAGCAAAGTTAACAAGAACAAAAACGAAATTAAAATTTGTGAAATTTTAAACTTTTGATATCTAAATCATATGACCTTACAGCCATGCAACGCACTGTCCAAATGTGTATGCATTTGGCTTGATAATTTCGAGAGACATTCGAGTACATTACACATCATTTGATGGGCTAATGCTTTTCCACTCGACATTTCGTCTATAGCTACGACAAACACTCCAACGGAGAGTAAGCAAAAGGGAAATGCTGGGGGGAGGGCGGGGAAATGCGATGACCGGATATGGTGATATTTGTTGGAAGTAAATTAAATTGATGTGGCAAAAAGCTGGACTTTCCTCTCTACGCCCACGCCCACTATTAACCTCCTCATCCTCATCCTCATCCATCCACAAACAGAAAGGCATATTCGGTTGGACACCTGGATTCGATTCTTGATTAAGTGAAATTTCATTCCAGAGTTGTCATAAAATGCGCACGCACAGAGATACGTATGAAACCCAAAAGATACACACAGAAACGCAAATTGATTGCGAAGCTGTTTGCTATAAATTATTAACACTAATTAAATGATTAAATAATTCAACAAAAAAAAAAACGAGAGAGCACAACGGAAGGGAGGGCTTTATATTGATCAGCCTATCGCGATTGGCTTGGGGCACTCGTCCTCTGTTTTTTTTTGTTTTCGTTGGTTGCTGTTTTTTATCTTTATCAATTAACGCGCAAATTGATTCTGCACAAATTTCATTTAAATTTAAGATATTTCCATTCCTCCCTCTCTCTCTCTCTCTGTTTTTCTGCCGCTCCACTGAGTTTGCCCATTTCTGGATGGCCTTTTCTTTTTGATGATTGCTGTTTTTCAACGAATCTGGCCTGTCCGAAAAAGGCAGAGTTGATCTATTGAACCGAAAGGGGGGTTTTTTCTTATGGATTTAGGTCTGAAAGCCTTTAAGATCTCTTCTAAAAATAATAAATATTTATAAATGAACTTACCAGATAAGTGGGTTGCCTTGTTATATTACTTAATCCAAGAAGTTTAAGAGAGAAAGCCAAACCTGTAATAAAATAAAACCAAAAATGCTATAATCAACTTAAGAAAATTAAAAAATAAAATTAACACAAATCGAAAATAAAAAGCCAATTTTATAGATTAGAATAATCTTAAATAAAAAGTATTTTAATTTAAAAAAATAGACAAATAAACTTCCCTCCGAAAATAGGCAACCTAATATAATGCCAACATATTCCTCTGGATATATCCCATATCCCATTTCGCTTTTCCCCCATCACTTGGCTTACCCTTTTTGAGTTTCTGTAACCTCCAGCTTTTGTAAATACGAGCCGCAAGTGAAAAAACAAACATGCATTTGTTGATTTTTGACTAAATTGTTCATGATGTATTTATTCTTCTCTTTTCTTTTTGCTTGTATATATATAGATATATATATATATATATATATATCGAGAGAAAGAGAGATGTTTGTATACATACATACATATATATGATGCGAACTGCGGTATTTCTTATTTGTTATTTGCCTTTCTCATTGCTAGATTAGTTTCATTTTCGTTTTTCGTTTTTCGTTTTGTGTACGGCTACATATCTATATGTATGTATATGCATATGTATATGTGTATCTAGTGGACTAGGATTACATATGAATTAGAGTAATTTATCCTTAACTGCCACTCGCAATGAGCCTATGCGGTTAGCCTAAAAGTTCAACTTACCGTGCTAGGAATTTGACATAAAAAAAAAAAACATCATACAGTATATCGTTACATTTAGTTTTTCCATGTTTACTTGATGGTATTAATTTGTCTGTGGTTGTGAATCTCACTATGTATGTGTGTGTGTGTGTATTTGTTGCGTGTTGAAGTGGACTTAATTTAATTACATTGGCTTAATTTCAATATTTGTTTTATCGCTTTTTTTGTTTTGTCATTACTGTAACGGTAACACTGCACTGTACTGCACTGTACTGCACTGTACTGTTTGGCTGTTAGCTAGTTTGTTATTAACTACATAGACATATATCTGAATTGGCTTAGGCTTATGACACAAGTTGGAGCTTGGCAATTAGTTTCTGCGGGGACGCACCTCCCCTTTGTTTTTAAATACAATTTTTTTTGTATTTTTCATTTTTCATGTTTTATCTGTTTTGGTTTTTTCGTTTTTTTGTTTTTTTTTTCGTATTTTACGAGCAATGACTAGCCTATCTGGTTTAATTTCACTATTTTAATTGAATGTCACAAATTGAATATGGCAAAAATTAACAAATTCAAACGACGACGGCCACGCCCACTCGGTGGTCGTTGGCGGTCATTCAAATTGAATTTATTTTAAATGAAATGCCGCAAAGCAGCAACAAAAAAAAAAAAAAAAAAAAAAACATACAACAAAATCGCGTTCAAATGAGCTCTGCTCTCGCTTGACAGCCCTCCAATTGGATGCCGCCCTGTCACGGCAAAACAGAAAACAGAAAACAGAAAAAGGAGAACTAAAAACGGAAAAACTGAATACCAAATACTGGTAACAGAATACAAGGCCAAAACCAACAGAAACAAACAACAACAAATGGCCATTCACGCGCTCAATTACCTACAATCAAAATGCATTTAAAAAGTATTTAAACCTAATTGCCAGTGGGCGGGTTCGAAATGATGATGCTAAACGATTGGAGTGTAACGCTGCTCGCTGGCTTACTAAAAACCAAAAGCATACTCAAGCCAAAATGCCATCCAAGTTTTTTGGACAAATCGTTGGTAATTCGTTGATCGCTTGTACGTGGCCAATTTTTCTCTCAGATTTTTAGGTCAATTTGAATCCATGACTGCTCTTCTTACCTCACAAAAATTATTACTACAATTGTGATTAAGCTTTTGGGTTTTTCTATTTTTTTGTTTTTGGCACATTTATCTTACATTCATATACACACTTAACACTTTGAGCATAAAGTTCTGAGTATACATTTAAGAGTTCGATTGTTTAACAAATTAAAACCACATTTAGAATTAACTATGGGCTGATTTTTACTTCTTCTTTAACATTTAACATTGGTACAGTAAGACAGTTGGATCAGAATCAAGTTATTTCCTCTCTCTCTCTTTTATAAAGACATTTTTAATTTGAAATTCTCTAGAAAGAGAAAGAGAGAGAACGAAAAAAAGGTCTACAAATATTGGCATTTGTTTAATTTAACTTGGCACACAGTTTTGAATAACAATTTGGCATAACAGTGTTAGAAACAGAAAATACCATCATCAGCACTTCTCTAATATATTAAAAAAAAAAAAAAAAAAGAATCTGCCTTCCGGAAATTTATATTTGCCCTGCAAAACAACAAATAAAACTAATTGAAATTGCAGCAACCAGAAACGACAGACCAAAGGATAAAATATGCAGAGCAAAAATCGAGCATAGCTGAGGGGGCAGCAGGAGCAACTAACTAACAAATCGCTTAAATAAACTTTGTCCTTTGGTATTTATACAATTTGTCATTTTCATTTGCATTTTGTTTGCTCTACTTACTCACCCCCACCCCCCTCTAGCCATCTTTGCTCCTCTAATATGCCACGCCCACACACTATTTATTATTCATAGCTGTATGTGTGTGTGTGTGGTGGTGTGCTGGTGTGTATTTATTAATTTCTGGATTCGTGTTTTACGGCATTAACCATAAAACGCCCTCATGCAGCATTCAATTATTTATGCATTTATCATTTAGAATTTTAATTTTAATTCACTCCCTCATTCTGTCGCAGCATGCGACTCAACTTTAGTTGTCTTTGTGGCTTTTTGTTTGCTATATTTACACACATAATAATAAATATTTGCTCAATGTTTTATTTATACTTGTATGCTGAAAAACACGATGAACTTCAAGTCGAGCATTGTGGCCCTCAAGAGTAGGCTATACTTTTCATTTGGTTTTTCGTTTTCTTCTTTTTCTTCTTTTTTTTTGGGAAGAGTTACGTTTTCATTTATGTATGTACGTGTGTGTGTGTTTGTGTGTGGTGCATTTACTTACAGTGTGTGTGTGTGGTTTTAGTGTAGGAATTTACTTCTGGGCCTTTAGACACGTATCACTTCGCCTGGTGCCGGTCCAGCTTTCGGACACAGTGCATCGTCGATGCTGTCGCGCAGTCGCATTGCCGCATCCAGTTGGGCAGCCTCGTCCTGGGGTCCTGGTCACATGAATATATCACCAACTGCAGGCGATTTTCGTGGAGTTGTGGGCACACCGTGTGGACAATGCGGTGGCGTTCCAGAACCAGAAGCGCCGCCACCTCCAACTGCTTGCTTCGACTCATCTTCAAAGGTCACCATCTTCTCGCTGCGCGGTTTTAGGGTCACAATTTGCAACTGAGCTGGCGGTGGTGGCGGCTGTTGTTGTTGTTGTTGTTGTTGCACGGTGGGCGTGGCTGAGCAGAGCAGCGTTTGGGGTGGACCCAACTGCAGGCCATGTGGCAAACCCATGCCCATGCCCATATTCATGCCCATGCCTACATTCATGCCCATGCCACCCATAGTCATACCACCACCACCACCAACCATATTGGGTGAATATCGGCGGGGTGGTGGCAGGGCCAGATCACCCACGCCCGACAGATTAAACTCACTGATGCTGCGTGGCACAAAGTATTCCAGATGGTGTTCCGGTATGCCCGTCGATCGCCGGATGGGCGTGTTTCGCTGAAATGCGGATCCTCCGCCAGAATTGTTTGCCGCCTGCAGGTGACTTCTTCGCGGCAGCGAACTGTACTGCGTCAGAGTGTGAGCTGGACCAAAGAACATGGTCTGATGCTGGCCCAGATTATTTTGCGGCTGCCCTAGGCCGCCAGCCAAGCCCACACCCACTCCCAGATTGGGATCCGCACTGGGTCGCTGTCAGGAGGGTTTCGGTGTGACTGCCACGGTGACGAGAGCTAACTCCTCGGCCTTGGGCATAACATGATCTTGCACACTGAACCTGCGCAGCCACAGGACAATTTCCGTCTGGATCAGACTGAAGCACATGGCCACCACGGCCATTCCAACCAGGATATAAGCAGAGGCCGTATAAAGAGCAACAGCACCGTTAGGAGCCATTTCACCAAATCCAATGGTTCCCAACGACGTGAAGCAAAAGTATAGGGACTCCAGGACACTCCAGTTCTGAAGCTTATGAAAGAGAATGGCACCGCTACTCACATAGCAGAGTAAAACGCACACGCAGATAGAGATGGGAACACTAGGTGAACCGCGGCGATTGCCCGAGGATTTCTTGCCCTGCTGCGTCTGTTGCTGCTGTGCCTGCTGTTGCTGCGCCTGCTGCTGTTGTGCCTGCTGTTGCGCCTGCTGCTGTTGGTATACAGATGGCGGCAATCCGTATTGATGCAGTTTCTGATGGGCATAGTGCCCCTGGCCTTTGGTCTTGTCCGTCTTCCTTCCACTACCGCTGACTCCGGCTCCTGAACCCACGCCACCGGAAGCGCCACCATTTGGTCCTCCACCCGGACCACCCTTAACCCTCTGGCGCCGGAACAGACAGCGCATTCCCGCCGACAGAGCCTCGCCCATGGCGGACAGGTAGAGCAAGACGATGGGAATCCCGAACAGTGCGTACACAAGAGCCGCCACACGACCCCACTGCGTCCGGGGAGAAATGCCTCCATAGCCTGGAAAAACCGGAAGATAAATTCATATTTTAATTATACTTTAATTAATGTTTGTTATGGTTTCAAAAGTAGTTTGTGAAAGTCAAAAAAAACTTGTATATATATGAGAATGAATACTTTTTTTGGTAGTACAAGAGTTACGTTTTGGTACACGATAATGGCTTCGAAACAAAGCCCTTTTGGGCTATAATCAAGATTACGACTTTTCAAATCAAAATGCTATTTTTCTTGCGGTTTTTAGCTCTAGCTCGGTCAAAACATGACGCACAGCCAAAAGAAGGACTGTTCTGTGCAGCTAACGACTAGCACTTACCACCCCTATCACTCGTTTTTCGATTTTGGGAAAATAAATTTTGGCCCAAATTTCGCATTTTTGATAAGGGGTACCATCATCAAAATTTTCAAAAATGGGCCAGAAATGAAGTTTTCCAGATTTTAATCCAAACCAATTGGGAATCATGGCAATCAAGTTACGAGCCCTACGAGATATTACATTCCACATTCGGGCAATTATTTGCGTAGTAATGGGCAAAATACTTTCACAATTGAGGAAAAATCGGATTTAAAAAGAAGAGTACTTTGGGGGAGTATGAAAACACTGGGACACTATAAAGACATCACCAGAGAATCAGTTTTTTGTTTATTTCCATAAACATTTCCCTTTTAAAGCCCAGCCTAGAAGATAATTGAATTAATAAGTTTCCCTTTCGGAATCTTGTTAGCTGGATCAGTGAACTGAACTGTGACATGGACTGCTTATATAGGCAGCCATTGCTACGTGATCCCATTCACAGTTTAACAAGCTCAGCTTCTGATCCTTTATCTAATTAGCAGGTCAGACTAGGCGGATACTGGGAGATACAGATTAGCAGCAGCAGATTGAGTCATTTGCCTACTGGCAACTATGGTACTGGGCAACTGGGGAGCTGGAGGAGCTGATGCTGTTGGAACAGTTGATGGCATGTGCATGGGGCACCACAACAACCTTTTTGGACGGACCCCTTTTTTGCCATTCCACATTTTATATTTACCATTTTGCAGCCTCAAACCCCCGAAACTCCTGACTGGCCTCAAAAAGAGGAAAATAATAGAAAAAAAAAAACGTAACTTTTTCTGTCGGAGACACTTTGGCTTTGATGTTGTTTGCCCAGACCCGGTGATTTGGAGCAAAGCGATGGAAAAGGGGGGACTGGGGAATGGAATCGAGACTGGGTGCCAGTACCAAAATAAGGACCTGTGGCAGGACCTTCCTAGGCCGCCTTCCTGCCTGTGGGCACGACCTAACCCAACAACTCTGCTCCACTCACAGCTCTACATCTCTGCCTCGGACTTTCGTTTCGCCCCAGACTTTCGGCTCTGCAATGAACTTTTAATGTGGAAACTTTTATAATTGAGTAAAATTGTGCGTGTGTGTGTGTCCTCTTATATATATGTGTGTGTGTTTGTGTCTCTGTATGTATTAAATTTTATTACTGAAAAAATAAGAAATAAAAAAACCAAACGACAATAGCAAAAAAGCACGACAAAAATCGGAGTTGAAAAACACAGAAAATGCTTTTCAGCCGTAATGTAAAAAATACTTTAAAATCCCAAGCACGTTTAAGTGCATGGCCGTAGGGAAGAGGAGGGCGTGTCTGTGTTGCATGTGTAGGCCTTTCCGGAAACACACACACACCCCCCCCTCCCATCCCTTTCTCTCTCCCTCTCATCGACCCCTCTTAGACCCACTCAGACCCTCTTGAGTTCCGTGTTTCACACGCTACGGAAAAGTTGTTGAAAATTATCATCGTCGCATGGCCATCGTTCATAAATGGTAGCCCCGCCCACAGACGGTAACCACGCCTCCATTTTAGCAACGAACGGCAACGGTTGCTAAAAATTGTTAGTGAAAATTATAACATTTACAATATGGCGTCCATAAAATTGTATGTAGTTATAACTAACTAACTAACGACGCACACATGTCGACCAGACCACCACCCACCAACCCACCAACCCACCAACCCACCAACCCACTACTCCCCGCCTTACAACTAGCTGGAAGATTTCTAACGGGTTAAAGGGGCACAATATACCCAACCCAACCATATATTCAACACCCGCTCACTCCGCCTCCCTTTCCAGACAGCAAAAACTGGCAATTATGCGTAGCAATTTTCGGGGAAAGTTTACCCCAAACTGCATGCCATATACACATTTAACAAGAGCGGGGTAGAGAGCTGTAAAACGATTTCCATGTTGGGGGGATTGAAAATTTTTGGTCCCGGAGATTGAGACTGTATGTGGGTGGTGTAATGGCCAAGTTGGCCAAGAATGGGTTAAGTGCACGTCCACGTCCGACGACATGGTCAGTTTTTAGGGCCTTGTTCTTTGGCAGATTTAGCTATTATGGCATTCTATTTGGACTAGTCATTTGCCACGTGGCATGTTAACGAAACTGTCGAAAGCCACACATTTTTAACTGCTCCATCCCCCCCTCTCCATAAAAAAGGGTAAAATTATTTCAATAAGTCTGTAAAGCACATAAAACGTGATCTGTTGGATTACATAAGGCTATTATATAAGTTTATTGAGTTATTGGTTAAGAAACTTAAGCTTTTGTCGGTCAACTTTATTTATATATCATACTGTGAAAAATTCAATATAATTGTAAACAAGTTTACAACTTTTATATGCATTCATTTTATTACCACAGCCAACGGCTGTTCTATCATCAATTTTAATTTAGTCGCTTATATGCTTTGGCATTCTATCAATATGCTTTTGCTGGCTGGGCAAATATAATTGTAATGAAACGATCAAATAAATCATTGTTTGCATATGCGAAAGTGCATTTTATAAATAGTTTTTATTAACTATCTGTTGCTGAACTTTGCCAGCTTTTTGCTCTATAAAAATTCATTGATTTATAAGCTTAAGAAAACCAAATGGCATTTTTAGTTTTAAAGCAATAACCAAAAACTTACTGCTTAAATTGGTTTGCTCTTTTGGGTAGCTAGGCATGGCATTTGATTTCATTAATGAAAGTTGAGAGCCAGACGCCGACAAAGGCCAAGTCCACAACGTGTGCCCCTCCTAGAGTTTGCCCTCTAAAAAAAACCAAAAACCCATTCCCCTTCTCCTTTTTGATTTCTGGTCTCAGGCTTTTGTCCTGCCCTGAAGCGACTGTAAAATCCAAGCCAAAAGCCAGCGAGAAATATTTTACTACGGCAATTTTCGGGCATAAAGTAATTACAAAATACTCTCCATCATACATACACACGCATACACACACATACACATACACTTACCCGACGAGAGAGAGTTAGGGGGGGTGAATGTGGGGACGACAAGAGCCTCTAATAGCTAAGAAATTAATTTTCACAAAAAGCTATTAAGAGAGTCACAAAAATTTCCAAATATAAAACCAAACAATGCTCATTGGGGGGTGGGGTTGATGGGTTAGGGGTAGGTGGTTGGTTGAACATGGCCAAGAGGGAGAGAGAGGCACAATGTCGAAGGTTAGGTGGCCTCCACCACTGGACTCGAGGTCAAGCAGCGTTGGCTGAGAGGGCAATGTAGATTCCCTTCTTCCCCTCACTTTTCCTGTCTCGATTTAATTACAGATTACACACAGAAAATAAATTTTGAAAATATTTTTTTTTACTTATTTCTTCAAAGATGAAGACTTACAAAATCTAATTTAATGATTAAAAATGATAGATTTTATAGATTTAGAGCAAAAGTTACCACCTTAAGTATGGGATATCATTAAATGGTGTATTCTGAAGACAAGAAAAGTAGCTGATAAATCTTTCTCTCCATGCAGCACTTTGTGTGTGTGTGTCAGCAAGTTTTGAGTAATGAAATTGCGAGAGGAAAACACGCGCTCGTCCCTTATCATCGTAAATAGACAAATGTTCAATAAACAAAGCAAATTGCGGATTATTTTTTTGGTTTGGGGGACAGAAGGAAGAAATATCGAAATAATAATAATGATATGCAGGGCCATCCGGCAAGGGCGAAATGAAACAAAAACATGTCATTAAACGCCCCGAAAAACATCATCATCAATGGCTGGCGGATGGCGGATGGCGGATGGCAAATGAAAACCAAAAGAACATAGAGAGGAGGGGGTTCAAGGGACAAGGGACAAAGGACAGAAGTACAGAGTACAGAGTACAGTGGAGGACATAGGACAGAGGACAACATTGGACAAACATGACAGCAAACATTTTTATGACATGGCAACTGGCGCTTGAAGAATTAATTAAAAATTAAATGGCCTATTAAAATTGTTATCGAGACGCTGCGACGCCGGCAGCGACGTCAATGCTGCCCATTTAACTGTTAAACAAATGCGAAATGTGAAAGCGAAATGGAAACAAAAGCCAGCCGCAGACAAAATATCCCACCAACGGCCTGCAGTCCTATCAGATCTCTCCATATATCTATATATACAAAGATACATATATATATACATATGTATGTATGTATGTGTATGTACATAGTATATATTTACGTATAGTATATATCTATATATATATGGACCATAAAACGTTGCATGGCTGACATCGCGAAGTGACGCCAACGATGCTTGAACATGTCAAAACATGCATAAAAATGCGAAAATTGGCTGGATGAGGGGAGGAGGAGGGGAAAGGGAAGTGAAGTGAAGTGAGGTTATAACTTGTGGAAAGAGACACAATGAGATATATAGATAGAGCAAAAGAGACAGAGAATGGGAAAGTAGAAGAGAGATAGAAAGAGCAGAGGAAGTCACTGCCATTCGCATTTTGTCACAATTCATATGGCAAAACTGTACAGTTCGCCATTGTTGCTCGGCCATGAAAATAACCTCATGGAGGGTACAACAGCTTTTCCTTTTTTGCCAGCATGGAAAATCACAAAAAAAAACAAGAAGAAACGCTATAGTCGAGTGCCGCGACCATAAGATACCCGTTACTGTTTTACAAAATTTTAAAATATTATTTTGCTAGTGGAAATTCACAAGGCGCCAC